TGTGGTTTCATGATGGTGATGTATACACACAAATCATGCCTTACTCTCCGAAATGTACAAAGACCTACAAGTCGAGGCTTCATGTCAACAGCCAGTGTATCAAAACTTGTAACACATGTCCACGGCATTTGTGTCAGAGATTAAAAAAGAAGCACCTTTTCTGATTTATAATTTTATAATCTACAAGGGATAGGCAATGCATTGTCTTTTGTCAAAAATTTCTTGATATGCTGTCTGTCATTCATGGACAGCATATTATATAGAGCTTTCCCAGAATTTCCATGTTTTCTTTGAATCAAGGCATGTTTAACAGCGATTTTCTAATTATTGCCTTATTTGCTTTGCTGATATCATGTATAAAGTAAAATATTGTTCTACAAACACGGAATCCATAAAGACAAAAAAGAACTCTTAATGTGGTCTTTTTCCTCTCCTTTATCTTGTGTTTCTTTGACAGAAGAGCTACGATGAGCAATATGATTAGCTTTACTTGTAATATTAAGTTCATCATGCATTGGTGACAATCTCCTCTGAATTCAAAAGTCCATCTTTATACCGCATGGTTCACCATTATGTAATTTACAGTTATATGTGTCGTGGCGGTATTTACCTTGTGCTATGCATTCAGTAGTATCACATCCACTTGGATATGATGAACCAAACATGATATCATTCCCATCTGAGGATTCAGCTAACGCATAACTGTACTCGCCACCACTAGAATCAGAGGGAAGATCTCGGAAAGCATCAACATGATGTGTACAGTTGTGAATGATACAGCTGATCAACGCTTCCCATCCAATCTATGAATGATTTGTCCTGATCTGAAATGATTTCTGCAGGAAATCTACAACATCTAGAGTTGATGCCAAATGAGAGCTGACTCATAATGGTACTATCATAGACAAAATGTTTTAACTTGTGTTCAATATCCCATGACGATGATATCATGACTATAGCACAGGTAGCTGTATCTGGAACGTAAACAACTAGAACAAAAAATCAATCCTTGGTTGCTTCATACAAGACACATTAAAATGTTCATGGTTCACGATATCGCGAAATTTGCAAGTGCAAGTGAGATATCCACTCCAACTAAACTTTCTTACATCTTTACACTCACAAGACACACCTACCTATTTTTCACTGATCAGGTTATCATCATTAGTCCTCCTTATAGGCTACGTTTAGTAGAATATTTCAGAGGTAGGGATCTTGTTGACGTCGTTGAGCTTCTGCGGTACAGTAATGATCGTTACTTTCGGTGCGTGTGGCTGGCCGGGTGGACAATCGTGCAGAATCACTAAATGTGAAATACGACACTAAGAGAACATCTTCGGGATAATTTCAGGTATGAGTTATCCAGTAACCTGTATCTATGATATGAAGGTGAATAGAATAAAATGGTGGGGGGAAATCGAAAAAAGACATCCTCGCCTGTGAACTGTACTAGTGAGCATAACTCAAGCGAGACTTACACCTGGTCGATATCGGGTCGACCCAGTATAATATTTGGTGGGTCTCTAGTCCCGGGGCCTGTAACGTCACCTGATCGTCCGAAAGGGACCCCAACCCCCTTTATTTCTACAACATAACTGGGAAATACAGTGTAACTGGAAAATGTAACCAATGGTATTCATCACCGTTTGAACAAACTTGAAGGTTTGCAGGCCATTTTTAGATGGTTGGATTCAACTGAGGGTAAATTTGCAGTTCTGGATTGTTCATTCAGAGAAATGAAAGATGAACTCAAGATAAACAGTCTAAAAATAGACGCAGCAGACTTTGATCATACAATATTGGAGGAAAGGGGGGGGACAACAGGAGAGGAAAACCATGAACGGGGAGAACGTATTCTAGAACCACGGACACGATCAATGACAAATACTATAATCGTTAGCGATATTGAAGAAAATGGTGACAACGGAAATACAGACGAGTCTGAAAGAACAGTTAAAAACTACATTACAGATGAATTTGGTGTAGAAAATATTTTTCCTCGTGTTAAATATATAACCGAGATCTATAGTAGTGAAATTCACTACTAGAAAAGATCGGGAAACGGTTCTCAACGCTACACCTAAGATGTTAGCGGGGAAGGAACACTTAAGTGTTAATGAACAATTTCCGCTTGAGATAAATGAACGGCTTCGCATACCCCATGAACAAAGCGGCTCGGAAACGTGGCCTCAGAATCTATATTAATGGTCGTCTTTGCATACCTCCATCACTCATGCCCACTATTTCAAGGATAACCCTGTCGTCATAATCCTCCAGGTTCAGGAGGTCACCTCGCAAGACCTGCTTACTTCCCTCTACCTAGGAGTAACGTTTATGACAACCAGCCTCGACGACAACCCCGCAGAAATATTTGGACGGCAGTCAGTGATTGGAGGCCTTGATTCTAGACTGTGGGAAGAACATCATCCATATCGGACGCCGCCTCAGGTTTCATCCCAGAATTCTCCTTAGGCCCTACCTCAGGGACAACTCAGGAGTACCTGTCGGTGTCGTAAACGGACATGAAAATCTCTCCGACAATTCGGGATTGTAGCAAAGTGGTAAATAAAGAACCATTACAGGAGGTCATACCCAAGAGCTTCGGGAACTTAAAGCAACTTACCTAAATGTGTGTAAAGTCAAAGCTCATCTCGGCTGAATCTCAATTGTATACACCCGGAATAATTCATCCAGAGAAAAAATGAAAGACTTTCCATATACCTTGACCTACATTCTGACCTGAACCGTCTATGTCATTAATGGTTAAAAGGCACAACATGATTGGCCAAGAGTCAATGAGGCTTGGGCAATTTCAAATGAAAATTTTCAGATGTCATTTTTATTGAATTTCTCTTATAATTCTAATATTGCCTGAGATTAAACTTGGCCAGTTTGATGTACTTTTCACTTCCTGACGGATACTTATGTAAATGTAAAGTCATATATTATAAATAAAATCTGGTGTTATAGTTGTTACATTCAAGTCATTTATATTTTTCAGCAATACAAAATCAGAAATTGTCCAATGGTTGGTATTATCAAAACTGTCGTTTAATGTTGATTGTGCTTTACTACCTGAATATAACACCTGAAGGATATATTTAGGCTTCACCAGAGACTTTTAATGAGATTGAAACAGAAATGTTTCATCTATCTAAGATGATTTCAACGTAAAAACAGGAAAACAGCAAGATTATGTAGAACCTGATAATGATTTGATTAAAGCACTAGAAATTGCTAATAGCGAATCGCTGTATAATTATTCATAAGACTTCGAAAAATTACATAACATAAGTGTTCCTCCAAAACTGGTCAGTCAATGTGGTAGTAAAATAAATATTTGTAAAATATAAATTAGTTGAATCTTGTAGAACATATCATATATTTAAATGGCCGTGTTGGGAATGACAAATTAATTGGTACATGTTTATCATGTAAAACTACACATTAAGACTGTAATTTATCATCTTGTATCGTGCGATAATATTCCTCTATATACATAGTTTGAAGTAATTGATTTCGATCTTCTGATATCAGATGTGCATTGGAGGCTACTTTTTATGGGGTTAGGGTATTATACCAACTTGTATGATAGATAACAAGCAAACTCCTGTCAGTGTCAATGTAAAATGGATTTGATGATAGAAAATCCTAGATTCACAGATCTGGTTCAGAGAGACAGTGAACTTTTTGATTTGGAAAATAATAATCTTGTATCACAAGAAACTATAAATGAGGTTACCCAAATAATTACTAATATTTTCAAGAATGTTGCCATGGAAACGTTTAACACTAAAAAAAGTGGTACGGTACACAAGACAATGCGAACTAAAGATCACCATGGTTCTGTAGAGAATGTTTAGTAAAATGGAAGTAAGTAAATTTCGATCTCCAAATATGAAATTTCCTATTGCAATGGGACGCTAGAGAGACCTTCCACACCAGGGTAGAGTTTGTGCGTTTTGTTCTAATGAAATTGGTGATGAATACTACCATCTATATAACGAATGACACTACAAGTTGGAAACTTATTCATCCAAACTTCTTGTTGTAAATACCCAAGTTTCATTAAGATGAAGGGAATGCTTGCCATTTTAAATAAGCGTTTGTAAATTCTTAGAAAAAGTTGAATGTACTATTAAGTAATCTATCAATATTGTTAACCTGTATTACAAGTCACAACAACTTTATTTACTCCATTCACTGCTTCCGGTTTTCACTATCGGTAAAGCTTGCATGTATTCGATTTCTACAGAAAGGTCAGTTTTGTTATCAAACATACATGTATTGCGATGGAATTAGTCAAAACTTAATTTGCCAGCCATGGTTTAATTCTTACTTTGTAAAATGACCTTTTGTCTCACGCTATGCGCGTGACAGAGCGAAATAAATGAATCTAAATAAACGAAGAGTGATCTCCCGTACAAATCGTAAATATCATACAGAAACTAACAGAGAACTCTTCCTGTACAGTATGCTGAAATCATCCTGCAAATCATATTATTAGATTGGTATTATTTTTTTTAAATGGATACATAACAGTTGAACCGAGTTCTTTTATCGATTTATCGTATTAACAGCTCTGGCTCAGCGTCTATCCCGATGGTTTTGGGGTTGCCGATCAAAAGAACCTACAGGCTCTAACCTTTTAGTTGCGTTTTTTTTTTTTTTTTTTCATAACGATATCACAAAATGTCAAATACTGACATTTGCATAATCATTAAAGAAAAAGAACAGAAAGAAAGAAAACTTCTTCGACTACCATGTGCAAAAAAGGAAGAATTATGTCTCGTGACTTTAGACGTTTTTTTTCTCTCAGAATAAGGCTAGCCGCGTCTGTTCTCATTTTCGCTGTCGCGACCACATGTAAAGGTATTAGGTAAAATCTTTTCTGATATGGTATATATATGATCAGATGCCCAGATAACATATCTGAGATAGAACATCGTTGTATTTTCTGTGTAAGCTCCCTTCACGACTCTTCATTGTTTTTTCCACAGATCGACCTCTCAGATATCATAGAGGGTTGGTATCTACAGACGATAGATGTCTACTCCGGATGTGACGATTTCCAGACGACAAAATGTCGGCGCAGCCGGATATACGTCACGAATCACATGACCTACAACCATTGCTTTGACTGCTCTCCAAAATGGTGGCTTTGCTTCAGTCCATGTTGGTTACTGACTGCGCCCTGCTATATCGTAAGTCACTACATGATTACCAATTGTTTTCTATTTTAGGCTATATGACAGGAAGAATCTTAACGACATATAAACACTGTGTTTCGTAAATGTCATGCGCCGTCCACGTAAATATTTTGAAAGTTGAAACATTTTCTCAAGTGGTATCCAGTTCAGACCTGAATGATATGATTATGAAATTCTTCTAAATAAGGGCTATTTTGGGATTGCCCCCTATATCACCATGAGCGTCATTTTCTCCATTTGTCAAGTCTTCTCCATTTCCACATGGGTCATTTAGTTCGAAACTGATGAGGATGTTAAGGAAATGATGCCAATAATGATATATATTATTGGTGTCGTGAAAACTTAACAGATGGAAGCACGGAAGCCATTGCGTGGAATGATTGCACAATCATGGTTTCCCAGAACATCACCTACTTTAAACTCAAATTCTGTTAACGAGATTTCATTCAAACCTGTCTGAACTGATCATGAATTTGTCTGCAAAATTTTGTTTCCTCCAGTTCCGGAAATTCAATGATCAGATGACCGTGAGAGTTTACTAGATTTCTTCACATATTTACTTCAAATAGAACAACGTCAAGAATCAATACCTTTCCTCGATTATTGTCATTTTGTATCCTCGTCAAAAGGATAAAAGAAAGATGAAACTTCAGGGAAATCATGGTTAAATGAATGTTTTCTGCAATCCGTTTTTATATTATTTATATCCATTTTTTCGATTTATTTCTTTACTTGTAAATAGTATTAAATAACACCGCTCAAAAATTGTAACTATTACAGAACTATTATCAAATAATTTTTCTTCCCTGGACGAAAAAACGCTAGAAATTTGATAATATTTACTTTTTTCCGAAATAATTTTCAAATCATTTTTATGAGTTTAACTGTACTGGGGTATGCATTAAACGACATGGTGTTTTGTTCAGTCCAATATTTCAAAATTACTTATTTTTCAAATTGCAATATCAACGGTCATGTACCAGTACTTAATATCAGGAACATATAAGACATAAACGCCATCTCAAAGAAGTTATTCTCTTTATCTTAATGCATAATTTCTTTACGACCTCGTTTACCGATATAAAGTTTGCAGGATGAAAATCATAACCATACCTGAAGAGACTGTTAACGTTAGGAACGTTCAAGTCTTATCGTATCTGTGATCTTCAAGTTTTCGTATGTCCTTTTTGGTTACTGACCAATGTGGTTTGTGTCGTGATGGCAGAGTGGCGCCGTCTGGTGTGATAATTAAGTATGATGCGGTTCTGATGAAGCTATTTCCGCCTTTAAGTCTCCTTCCATGCCGAGTCAGCCAGATAGATTTGGACCCCGTATCATTCTAACTAAGTTAGGATGGTCATCTTATTTCAATAACACACGTTATTTTGTCATTTCTGTGTTTTGTAAGAAGGCATTTCGCCGTTATATTTCGATCAAGACGAGTCCATACCCCATCAGAATCTACATCAAAATGTTACGTTTGTACGTGCATGCGGAGACATAAAAATCACACATGATGGCTGAAGTGGTTGGAAAAGACTAAATAGACATGTCCCTCGCCATTACGGGTTTGCATTGTGTATACCAGCGTCTGATCATCACGTGTTCTACCACATCTCAAAGCATTTAACCGTGACACCGAGATAAATATAAACGTGACGGTACCGATAGGTCTGCCATTAGGAGCCAACGCGAAGATTCCAGAACTTTATTATCACGTGATGTAACTAATTCACGTGACTTCCCTATTGGTGATGACATTACCTGTTATTGCCATGAAGCCTGCCGAGTTATCCCACTGGGAAATAAGCTGATTTACATAAATGTTAAATTATTTTTAACACGTTTATTTTTTCTCCTCAAAACTATTTCATTTTACAATAATTTTTTCTAAATATTTTTTTTTCAGCAAATATGGAATTTAAAAGGAGATGATATTGTACATCAATTTAAAACTTTTCTCGCATCAGTTAAATTACAAATAGTTGTGATAGTTCTAGTATCATCATTCAAATGAACTAGCACAAATATAAAACCTCAAATCTCAAAATAATGTAGAAACCAACAAAAATCCCATAAGGAAATTGTAAAGAGAACAACAGCCTGCGATAACAGAATAACAAAATGATGCCTCATTTCTAGTTATGTGTGTATGGTACCTTTATATTTCTGTATCAATGTTATGGAGAGAGGCGAATACAGTGTTTTGGTAAGCAAGAACGAAATAGACAAGTTATTTGATAGTGTTTGCAAGGGAATTTCAGTGCTATATTGTATAGAGAAATCCTATACGTAATTGCCTTTTATGTTCAGATGAGTATGACGTCATCTGCATTACTGCTGGAAATCAGCTGAATAATTGATTAGGCTCTTGGCGTTTTCGCTGCAGTCAAAAGCATTGATCCCTGTGTGACCGGTTCATTGCTAAAGATTATTGCTACACTGGCGTACAGTACCTCTTCTCTAGAGTCACAGTTGTAATTAAGACCGATGTTCATGATTTATGTTCATAAGTAAGCATTACGCTGTCTTTTTGACATTTATGGCCGATATAACTGACATAGATATGGAAATAAATCTCATACTGTGCCCGATATAATGCTGTCGTGTGCCGACTACAAAACAATTCAAACTAAAATAGATTATTCCTTATCGACATTCATCCGGCATGTTTAACAGCCAATCATGAAGGTGAACAATCGCTGTTTTTATGCCAACAATAATGACGTCATAACGATTAAGGAGTGAATTATTGCATATTAAATTCCAAATTTTAGATTATTTCGTAGATTTTCGTGGAAAGAGAAGGTATTTAAGTAAGGTGATCGAGTCACATGTGGTGTGATATCGGATTAAGGATAGTGAGTTTGTTACAACACTGGATCTTTTTCTGTTGTCTGAATTTTTTATTAGGAAACGTGAGGTAGATATGTCTTAATAGCCCTAAGACTGTTCCCTCGGCAACCCAGCAGTCTGATAACATATTCTTGTAAACCTTGTACCAACATCGACTGAGGATAATATATATCTCTGGTTTATACAATTAAAAAAATCAAACAGTAAGAACAGAGCAAAAACGCAACAGTGTTGGTTGAGATTAGTTTCAGATGTCGTGTTGTGTATAAATCACTGTCTCAGATGTCGTGTTATATATATATATAACACGACATTTGAGACAGTGATATACACAACACAACATCTGAGACAGTGATATATATAACACGACATCTGAGACAGTGATATATACACAACACGACATATGAGACAGTGATATATATATATAACACGACATTTGAGACAGTGATATATATATAACACGACATCTGAGACAGTGATATATATACACAACACAACATCTGAGACAGTGATATATATATATACCACAACATCTGAGACAGTGATATATATATAACAGGACATCTGAGACAGTGATATATATATAACACGACATTTGAGACAGTGATATACACAACACGACATCTGAGACAGTGATATATACACAACACGACATCTGAGACAGTGATATATATATATATAACACGACATCTGAGACAGTGATATATATACACAACACAACATCTGAGACAGTGACATATATATATATACCACAACATCTGAGACAGTGATATCTATATATAACACGACATCTGAGACAGTGATATATATATAACACGACATTTGAGACAGTGATATATATATAACACGACATCTGAGACAGTGATCTATATATATAACACGACATCTGAGACAGTGATCTATATATATAACACGACATCTGAGACAGTGATATATATATAACAGGACATCTGAGACAGTGATATATATATAACACAACATCTGAGACAGTGATATATATATAACAGGACATCTGAGACAGTGATATATATATATAACACGACATTTGAGACAGTGATATACACAACACGACATCTGAGACAGTGACATATACACAACACGACATCTGAGACAGTGATATATATATATAACACGACATCTGAGAGAGTGATATATATACACAACACAACATCTGAGACAGTGATATATATATATACCACAACATCTGAGACAGTGATATATATATAACACAACATCTGAGACAGTGATATCTATATATAACACGACATCTGAGACAGTGATATATATATAACACGACATTTGAGACAGTGATATATATATAACACAACATCTGAGAGAGTGATATATATACACAACACAACATCTGAGACAGTGATATATATATATACCACAACATCTGAGACAGTGATATATATATAACAGGACATCTGAGACAGTGATATATATATATAACACGACATTTGAGACAGTGATATATACAACACGACATCTGAGACAGTGATATCTATATATAACACGACATATGAGACAGTGATATATATATATACCACAACATCTGAGACAGTGATATCTATATATAACACGACATCTGAGACAGTGATATATACACAACACGACATCTGAGACAGTGATATATATATATAACACGACATCTGAGACAGTGATATATATACACAACACAAAATCTGAGACAGTGATATATATATATACCACAACATCTGAGACAGTGATATATATATAACAGGACATCTGAGACAGTGATATATATATAACACGACATTTGAGACAGTGATATACACAACACAACATCTGAGACAGTGATATATATAACACGACATCTGAGACAGTGATATATACACAACACGACATATGAGACAGTGATATATATATATAACACGACATCTGACACAGTGATATATATATAACACGACATCTGAGACAGTGATATATATATAAACAACGACATCTGAGACAGTGATATATATATATATAACACGACATCTGAGACAGTGATATATATATAACACGACATCTCAGACAGTGATATATATATATAACACGACATCTGAGACAGTGATATATATATAACACGACATCTGAGACAGTGACAAAAATATATATAACACGACATCTGAGACAGTGATAAAAATATATATAACACGACATCTGAGACAGTGATATATATACACAACACAACATCTGAGACAGTGATATATATATATACCACAACATCTGAGACAGTGATATATATAACACAACATCTGAGACAGTGATATATATATAACAGGACATCTGAGACAGTGATATATATATAACACGACATTTGAGACAGTGATATACACAACACGACATCTGAGACAGTGATATATACACAACACGACATCTGAGACAGTGATATATATATACCACAACATCTGAGACAGTGATATATATATAACAGGACATCTGAGACAGTGATATACACAACACGACATCTGAGACAGTGATATATATAACACGACATCTGAGACAGTGATATATACACAACACGACATCTGAGACAGTGATATATATAACACGACATCTGAGACAGTGATATATACACAACACGACATTTGAGACAGTGATATATATATATATAACACGACATCTGACACAGTGATATATCTATAACACGACATCTGACACAGTGATATATACACAACACGACATCTGAGACAGTGATATCTATATATAACACGACATCTGAGACAGTGATATATATATATAACACGACATCTCAGACAGTGATATATATATATAACACGACATCTGAGACAGTGATATATATATAACACGACATCTGAGACAGTGATAAAAATATATATAACACGACATCTGAGACAGTGATATATATATAACACAACATCTGAGACAGTGATATATATATATATAACACGACATCTGAGACAGTGATATATATATATATATAGACCACAACATCTGAGACAGTGATATGTATATATAACACGACATCTGAGACAGTAATATATATATAACACGTTATATATATATCACTGTCTCAGATGTCGTGTTATATATATATATCACTGTCTCAGATGAATATCAAAACTATAAAATTGTGTCTAACATTCAACGTTTGATTTCGTTACAATATCTCATCATAACATTTACACTAATATTTACTGTAAAATGCTTTTATTGAATGGACATAACGCTCAAATTCCTTGATATTTTTATCAAACTTCAAACATATGAAAACGACAGCAATTTCAAACGAGTCAACGATTGATATGAACGAAGCACGAAATATCTGGGCACTTGTATTATCCTGTGCTTTTGATGGATGAGAAGATTTCTGCATTCTAGTTGGCGCCGATTCTGAATAAAATCTTCTATAACTCCGTAACTGTACATTTATAGCCCTTAACCTAAGCTCCAGTGACAAGTCTGTTTGGTTCTAATGTTCTCGTGACATTCCGTATGTTGTACCGGTGTTGGCGACAGATTTCTCTGGATTTCTCGTTCTACTGGTGGGGTGTAGCGAGGTCCCCAGACATATATTGACTAGTTACAGTAGGTGTAATTATCATGTCAGGATTTTCAGACATCAGGACATTAATGCCGCTATCAGCACAAGTACAAATGATAGTATCTTTACTTCAGGGAGTGAATCTCGGCGCTACAAAAGGACCACTATCTTGGTAATGCGACTTGATGGGTCTTGCCGAAACTTCATTATTTATAACTACTTCCATATTTGGCAGTGGCCACATGGGCATGTGATCACTAATGTTTCTCAACAGACATACTTTACTACAATATTAGATATTTTACAAAGACCCGATTGCTGAGTTGATGCAATAAACATCAATAGATAGACATGATGTTCGTATCCTGGTCACTGTTATATCTACTATACCTTATCATTGTTAGATCTCTGCTTTAGAGTCTGGGACATGTCAATGTCATCCCTGCAGAAATAACCTTTCCAAATGAGTACTTCATGCCGAATTATATTATTCTGGCTGATCATTGAGATGGCACATTCGTCGCAATTTCCCGTCGATATCGTCTGTTATAATTGATAAAAACTTGCCTTGCTGGCACGATGATGCCCTCCGTCTGTCAATTACGTATTTCGATGATCACTTACACTATTACTGAAAACTCAATCACTTCTCGTTCAATTATATGCTTGCGTATCACATTAACTTATTCATATTGAATATTGTCGGCTGTGTGTTATAGACCATCAAAGGAAGCGTCTTCTTGACTGAGATTGATTGAAAGGTTATTACGTAGGCAGACAAGATTTCATCTCTCCATTTACAGGATATGTACACGAAAACATGGACACTTTCCTATGTTGTCATTTAAGTCTGGTGTTATCAATAGACATTGGAACATGCTTTCTATTAATTTTTATAATTAATGAATGCACTTGATGAGATTTCCTAAACTGCATTTCACAGTGTGCGCGCATCCAAAAATATCGCATGGAATATCTAAGATAAATATCATGTTTCAGGTGATTTAGAATTTTTAAAAAAATGCGTTAAGATATAGAGAGAAGTTAGACAATGAGTGATACTGTTGTATATCGTGTTTCTTTCACTTGAGTTCATGATGTGAAACGCGTTTTATGGCGATCGAGTATTTTTAACATTTGGCAAAAACAGTGTTACAAACGAGAATGAATAAATACCATATATAACGGCCTGGGTGACCTGTTTTACCACATTGAAATAGCTATTCCAGAGTTCAGTTGACCTTTTTCTGTACACACGTGTGTTTTGTTCAGCACATGAAATCAGAATGTTTCTCGACGCGTAAAGCGGAGGACTAGGTTTTATATTTGCCATTTGATACTTAGAGAGTTCTATCAAGGGAAACAATTTTATCTCCATTCGATAGCATTAATTCGTTTAGTGACTGGTAAAGCTATCTCTGTTTTCTAATGATATTTTTCGTTCTTGTACAGGGCTATCGTCGCTTGACATGCAAGGACATCAGATTAAAACTCAATGCTAAGGTATCCCCCGTTAGGTGCCTTCGGCGGACAAGCAGTACTTCCGGTAAGTATGAACAAATGGATTATGTATGGTTTCAGAAGAGTGTGCCTCCACTGCTGTGTATATCCGCTGTACTTTCCAACCTCGCCACAGTCAATCGGACGTAGCTTAATGCTCATAGACTCTTACTGACGTAGCGACTCGATAGAGATACAGACTAATGGCTGCTGTTTTACCGGAAAAGGCCACAAACACCAATTAAGGTGACAAAGAGAATCAGATAATGTGTAAATGCTATGGTCAATAACGGAATCAAAACAGACAACTAAAGAACAGAGACAACAAGTTTTAATTAATGTCACGACCGCTTCACAGATTAAACAAAAGACACATAAGTGAAAAGTACCTTTCCACACAATTATAGCGTCAAACAATGAATTAAACTTCATCGTATAACTGTTTTGTCCCATTAAGTCTTGTCAATGATACAAAGGTTTATTTTTTAAACATTTTAAGCGACAGAGGAAAATTAATTCTCAGTCGGCTTATATGAGACACGATCTTTTGCTTTAGTATAATTTCTTCCGTACGTATTAAACAGCACATCACGTGTCGCCACATATAGGTGCATTTAATAAAAATAGATACTTTAAGGTATTTTTATCTGCTTGTCTGTTTGTTTGTCAGATTTATCGCCACGTGAACTGCAAGGATCACGTTAGCGCGGAGTCTAATATCCTTGTACCTTCCTTACTGAGTAACATCTGGGAGGCCCGTATATTAAAGAGCTTGTAATCATATCTCATCTTAAGATATAATATATATGCAGTATTTTGTTACATTTGAAATGAGAGATAAATATATTTTTGCAATGCAAGTGGGCTATATTTAATGGTAGAATATGGTAATTTTGCATAAAATACTCTTGCTTTGTTATTCTAAGAACGGAATCAGATAAATAGTCTCTATGTTCATCCTGATATTTCAAGCAACCAGTTGTTCACGGGTATAAAGCTGGGTTGATGTAAATATTGTATGTATGTTATATACATGTATCCTCAAACGCTTTGTATCGATGTTTTATACTCTATACAGATAGGAAGGTTGTGCGTTTGTACAAGATATGAATGAAACCATAGAAAGATTTAGTTCATGTTAACAATAATGAATCTACAAACAAAACCAACATATAAATATTGATTAGATTTTGGTGATCAAGGTTAAAATTTCAAGGTCAAACTTGACCTCTTTTGAAAAGAAGCTGTGTTCTGAATATAGCTTCAATAAACATTGATTGATATTCATACCAAATCAACACCCCGCCAAGGTCTCCAACCATCGGTCAAGCCGAAAGGTCAAAGGTCACCTTCTACCATCTCACAAATGAAAGTCTTGTGTGTATGATATATTATGAAGGTCAAATGTTGTCCTTGACCTCTTCTGAAATAATAAAAACATACACGACAACTCATAAACCACTAGACACATTTCATTTATATTGAGAACGTGTCATCAACCAACCAATGTCTACACCTGGAATGATTTTCGTAATCACAGGTCAAGGTTAAACGTCAAAGGTCATCATTGACCATTTCTAAAACGTAATCCTTGTAAACAAGTTACATTATGAACCCATAGATAGTTGTCCTTCATTTTCACACCATGAGATCACCACACGAAGTTCTACATCTGAATAGAGTTAAGCGGTCATTTGTCAAGGTTAAATGGCAAAGGTCACACTTGATTTTCAAAACATTGCCATGTGTACAAAATATATCATAAAGTCCAAATTCACACCGTACCAACACTCTCCCAAACTTTACACCAGATGAAAATTTTAGTTGTCATTGGGAATGGTTTAAGTTCAAAGGTCACTGCTGCTCGCTTTTTTGTAAACAAAACGGTTGTGTTGAAATCAATGAACTTATACTAACATTGTAATTCATCCAATCAGAACATATTATGTTGGTTCTCTCAGCCGAATCTAATTGATAATACGAACTGAAGCATCGATTTGTAAAATAAGTCTATTAACTCTTATATTAAAAATGTTCACTTGACAAATACTTCATTTAATTAGATATCGATACGTTACACAATGTAACTAACCATCACCATTCTACACGATCACTCGAACTCTGTAGGGAAGAATGAGTGACACAAACAATGCTGTTCGTGTAAAACTTAGCTATTAGTCCTTATAGCACGACTGTCGTGACACTTTCTGAAAGCACGACCAGTAACAAGATCAGACGGTTGTGACGTCACTGTAAGTTATTAACGAAAAGCATGCAACATGGGAAGTTTCTTCTTCCCTGTTAATTACTTCGCATGGAATGAAATTTAGACATTTTACTTGATGGTGTTTCGTTTTGTCTCGCCTGAGGCCCCTAAGCTCCATTACACATGCATGTCGTGAGAGTGAGATGGAATGTTAACAGGATCAGGTCGTTACGAGTAAATAGCTTAACACTGTGCATTAATCTTTATATCAAGTTTCTGTGTAGAACTCTACAAATCATTTCTTATTTTCTTCATCACCTCATATTTTATCACCTGTACACCATCTTGAATTCTACATTCAGTACAACTGTCGTTAAAATATTATTATTCATATTTCACATAATGCATTGACAGGTACCTAAAAACCATGTGCTTTTTATTTCATTTAAATTAATAATCAATCAATACTGTTTGAGATATTTTGATCCTGTCAATTATCTTTATAACTTAAATTGTAAAAAGAAATGTTTCCGTCGCTTTAATTGTTGCATGATATAATTATTAACACTTTTTTTTTGTTTCCGGTGAATATTGCATATTTGGTTTCCAACAATATCGATGTTTACTGAAATCTTACAACCTTTCCCGCCAAAGTGGAGTCAGCTATTTTGCTGTTCCATCAGTCGTCGGGCTGTTCCGTCAGTGCGTATAACATTCAATGAATGACGATTATTATCGTAAAGTAAATACAAATATGTCAATATGTAAATATAGGGAATATCACAAGTTGATGAAAAATCATAAGATTTTTAAATTTTTTTTGTTGTTGATACCTGTTGTGAGGACTGCATTAAAATAAAGAACATGAATCACTAGCGAGCGTCATATAAAAATCTTTTAAAAACACAATTTACACACCAGTAAGGAAAAAATTCTTAATTTCATGATTGAGAAATATCTACTCATGGTAATATTTAGACGTTGATTGATTTGTGTTCATGTGGTTTTGTATCAACGTGTCACCGTACCTGGCTACAAATATGATATGTGATATTTCTCTACAATAGAATTCACAGCACTGTCGTCATGTAAACATTCCGTGACACATTTGTTGTGTAATTAGATCTTAGATTATAGAATGTGAGGGTACCATCGTAATTGTGTTTTAAGTTTGTTAATGTCCTTGTATTTATCATTACTTGTCCCGTATGACATTTTGCGCGTTATTTATCACCATGTCTATTTTCCTGCACGCCCTTCTTTGTCACTTTGAACAAACAGAAATAGCAAGGCCCGTACTTGTTACAACGATATGCATGCAACTGTTCAAACATCATTAGAAAAAATCAACCAATAAATACTTTCGCTCTAGTAAAATTCCTAGAAAAAAAATCTTTTTGTTTTTTTTTTTTTAATAATTTCTTTAAAACAGTTACCAGTGTTACACCATCTGTTTAATTAGAAATGATAGAAACTTTATCCTGTTTTTTTTTTCTTCTAAATTTTGCAGATGAAACAAAATCCAAAACCTCCACCATAGTGAACTATAAGATGGAGGATGATGTTGCGACTACGTCCTCTCTGAAGAGCTACTTCCGGCCTGACGAATCTACATCCTATGGAGCAGTGTGATAAATCGAGATAATTTTGAAGGAGATAATGATAATAACCTAAATTACATTATAGTTAATTTGTAAATGCGTTATAACAAATTTTCGTCCATATACTATTTATGTACATCGGTGCAGTAGATCTTATAGAACGACACGATATTTTGAATATTGTGTATTTACGAAATATATACTATCTTACAGGAATTTTATCTCATTTTCAAGCTTGTTTCACAACTCGCATGTGAACTGGAAGCGAATTTTGATATCGTATTGATCACATTTTAAAATATTTAGGCAGATATTATTTCAAAAAAGTCGTTTCGGGTCATAATCTTTCAATTTATGACACAATTCACTCTGTGTGACGTCATTTCATTGCCAAACCGTTACATGACAATAGGTTATATTATGCATGTTTGATACGCAAATGTATTACGTGCGTGTCTATTGAGTTACATGGCAATAAGAATAATGATAATAATGCTGTTTTCTTATGAATTACAAATTACGTTTGTATTACTGAACTTCGTACAACAGTTATGATTGAGAAAATAAATGTATGACCTTTACAAACAAAAATAAATCATTATAGAATACTGATGATATCCGTCATTCTTGTTGCTTCATATTATGAAACAGTCGGTCGCGTCGCTAAATTCATGAATTGGTCTTTTCTATTTACTACTGTGAAATGGTGTGCGTTTTTGCCGTCAGTTACTTGACTGATCAGTTTGACGTCATACAACTATGTATACAACAGGAAGCGAGACTTAATTATTGAAGATAAAGATTATCCTAGAAAATAAGAAAGTATAATTGAAAGGAAAATATTAAACACATATGCCTATATTGTATTTTGCTCTTTGAGAATAAGATATTGGGTTCACTATAATCGAATTCATAAAAAAAACTATTTCCTCACAACAGTTATGCATATACACTGTCATTAATCAGGCTTATGTGAACTTTCAACAATGTGCAATTTTATCTGTTTAACTTATTGTAATATAAATATATGCTGATCTATAACCTTTGTTTTGTTTTTTTTTATTAATGTTTAAGATGTTTATTAATAATTCAGCCACCTACCAACACAGCTGTGACATGTTTACATTTTATACAGGTTGTGTATCAATATGGAAGTGTCTTACAAATATTTGAAATGTAAGTCCTTTTGATCTTACACAATATATAATGTAATATGATTTGGGCAAAGTGTTTCCAACAAGGTTTGCGCCCAATAACACGATTTTCGTGCAAGATATTAGCAACTGATTGAGAAATTATAAACAAGACATACAAGTTGATGAAGATTTTGGGGACTTTTTGCCTTCGTTATAATGCTTTCCTAGGGAAATACGTTGCATTCTATTACCTTGTGCCTGATGAATTTTGAATCCCGTTGTCCTGCCTGATGACTGTGTTGTTGCCTACTATGATCTCAGTTGGAAATGTGACACTATTTACCTAAATTGGCTTCGACTTACTTTACGGGATCGTCGTTGCTGAAGCATAAGACGCGGACTCTTCCGGAGCACATTAGCTTATTGCCCTTGTACTTTCTAGGAATCCCCGTGTAATTTGAGTTTGATTTCAGATTCCGTTGGTATGTCGATATTTTCTGTGTGTAAAATAAACATCAGTTATGTTGATGTCGCAACATCGAAATCGACATTTCCTTCCATGCCCATTTTAGTTATTGAGGCGTTTCGCTCTTCTAGATCGAAAGTCTTACAAGTTTTTTCGAAAATGGAGACCAAATCAATGGCATCTTCAAGCTTAATTTCATCCCACAGGATTTCTGAGTATATGAATTTACTTGTGTAACTGCATCTTAGCTCTTTTCCAGAAAACGGAGTTGACAAAAAAGGAAACAGAGAGAAAAAAGTAAGAAAACATTCGCCTTTCCAAATCGATTGTAGTTTGAGCATTTAAACATCAATTGCTAGACAGAAATGAAAAATACCCCACTACAACCATAAGTAATATTATGTTGCGTCACCTAAATAAAGATACAAGATTTTGACTACTTTATCCTGCTGCATCACCTCAATAAAGATACAAGTTATGGACTACTTTATCCTGTTGCGTCACCTCAATAAAGATACAAGATTTTGACTGCTTTATCCTGCTGCATCACCTCAATAAAGATACAAGTTATGGACTACTTTATCCTGTTGCGTCACCTCAATAAAGATTCAAGTTATGGACTACTTTATCCTGTTGCGTCACCTCAATAAAGATACAAGTTATGGACTACTTTATCCTGTTGCGTCACCTCAATAAAGATACAAGTTATGGACTACTTTATCCTGTTGCGTCACCTCAATAAAGATACAAGTTATGGACTACTTTATCCTGCTGCATCACCTCAATAAAGATACAAGTTATGGACTACTTTATCCTGTTGCGTCACCTCAATAAAAATACAAGTTTTGGAATACTTAATCAGACTGCCACACCTACTTTATCCTGTTGCGTCGCCTCAATAAAGATACATGATTTTGACTACTTTATCCTGCTGCATCACCTCAATAAAGATACAAGATCTGCGTTCAGTCTGTTCAGGAGGATGTCTACCCAACGTGTACAATCTGAGCTCAGCCTGTTCAGGAGGATGTCTACCCCACGTATTCAATCTGAGCTCAGTCTGTTCAGGAGGATGTCTACCCCACGTATACAATCTGAGCTCAGTCTGTTCAGGAGGATGTCTACCCCACGTATACAATCTGCGTTCAGTCTGTTCAGGAGGATGTCTACCCCACGTATACAATCTGAGCTCAGCCTGGTAAGGAGGATGTCTACCCCACGTATACAATCTGAGCTCAGTCTGTTCAGGAGGATGTCTACCCCACGTATTCAATCTGAGCTCAGTCTGGTCAGGAGGATGTCTACCCCACGTATTCAATCTGAGCTCAGCCTGTTCAGGAGGATGTCTACCCCATGTATACAATCTGAGCTCAGTCTGTTCAGGAGGATGTCTACCCCACGTATACAATCTGAGCTCAGCCTGGTAAGGAGGATGTCTACCCCACGTATTCAATCTGAGCTCAGCCTGTTCAAGAGGATGTCTACCCCACGTGTACAATCTGAGCTCAGTCTGTTCAGGAGGATGTCTACCCCACGTATACAATCTGAATTCAGCCTGGTAAGGAGGATGTCTACCCCACGTATACAATCTGAGCTCAGCCTGGTAAGGAGGATGTCTACCCCACGTATACAATCTGAGCTCAGTCTGTTCAGGAGGATGTCTACCCCACGTATACAATCTGAGCTCAGCCTGGTAAGGAGGATGTCTACCCCACGTATACAATCTGAGCTCAGCCTGTTCAGGAGGATGTCTACCCCACGTATACAATCTGAGCTCAGTCTGTTCAGGAGGATGTCTACCCCACGTATACAATCTGAGCTCAGCCTGGTAAGTAGGATGTCTACCCCACGTATACAATCTGAGCTCAGCCTGTTCAGGAGGATGTCTACCCCACGTATACAATCTGAGCTCAATCTGGCAAGGAGGATGTCTCCCCCACGTATACAATCTGAGCTCAGCCTATTCAGGAGGATGTCTACCCCACGTATGCAATATACCACGTGTTAGAAGATCCTATTTATCATATGCAGTGTAGTATCATACATTTCTTCTCAAGTTTCATGTTATGTCAACAATGATATAGGAGATCACACAAAAATGGAAAGTAGGAAAATAGAAAATAAACAGGACTTCGACTGAGCAAAAATGCACTTGGATTTGTACTCAAGTGAATGGCTCACCTTACGTCAAGGCAAGTTGTCCATAGAGTATTGACTAAATGAATTAAGCTTCACCATAAAACAATACTATCTTGTCAACATAATCATAATCCAAACTCAAATACAATAAAACGCCCTCATTAGAACAGAATAATAAGTTAAGCACGTACAGATAACATCATTACAAAATATGAACAAAAGAAAGATATTCATGGATGATCCAGAAGTAGTACAAAGAGAATAAGACCACGTGATCTGGAGACAACACTCTCGTCCTTATGACTTTCGAAACCCTCTACCTACCTGATGATATTTCAGGACAATTTGACGTAACCAGAATGCCAGGTTTTCTTTCATCAGATTAGTAGAATGGTTTCTTTAACTTTAGAAAAAATGTTTCAACCTATTTGGTTTTCCTCTTTTGTCTTATAATGTTCTCAAATTTTGGTCCTTAGAACCACTGTCGAGTCTTAAAAGGACGAGACAGCTGTATGATGTAACATCACTGATGAATCCTAGAAGGACAAGACAGCTGTATGATGTAACATCACTGACGAGTCCTAGAAGGACGAGACAGCTGAATGATGTAACATCACTGATGAATCCTAGAAGGACAAGACAGCTGTATGATGTAACATTACTGACGGGTCCTAGAAGGATGAGACATCTGTATGACATAACATCACTGACGAGTCCTAGGAGGACGAGACATCTGTATGATGTGACATCACTGACGAGTCCTAGAAGGACGAGACATATGTATGATATAACATCACTGACGAGTCCTAGAAGACTGAAACAGCTGTATGATGTAACATCACTGACGAGTCCTAGAAGACTGAAACAGTTGTATGATGTAACATCACTGACGAGTCCTAGAAGGACGAGACATATGTATGATATAACATCACTGACGAGTCCTAGAAGACTGAAACAGCTGTATGATGTAACATCCCTGACGAGTCCTAGAAGACTGAAACAGCAGTATGAACCAGTTCACTTCATTGTTTGCCTCTGCTGTATCAAGTTCTTTGTGTTTTTTTTTTAAATAATCCACTTGTATGCTTTCGTACAATCTTCTTTTTTTGGGGTCTGAAAGTTTATTGTCATATGCATTGCTTTCCCACCCTCAATTCGGGAAAAGGCAACTTAAGTAACATTGCAATATTTTTTAAGTGAAATTATTTTGTAATGTGTAAAACGGAATCATTGATTTATCTGTTTCAAACGATCGCAATCTTTATTTCGTATTTTATCAGATAATGACTT